GCTTTGTGAGCCATCCAGGAGTCCTGAATTTCTCGCAGTCATTGCTGCGCTTGACGATGGCATTGGTGGAGGGCCGTCTTGCTTGGTTGGACAGTCGAGGTAGCCTCTGCGCAACCTGTTCTTCTCGGCCGGCAGGTTACTGACGGCCACGTCGTTTTCGTCGAACCGTTCCTGGTGTTGACTAAGTGGGCGCTCGAGAATATCCAGGTGGTCAAACAGACAGCGTCTCGCAGTTGGCGCCATTGGGTTTCCACGGAGACGTTTTCATCTGGAGCTTGCAGGTCTTACAGATGCTGGGTTAGTTGATTGCTGAAGTGCAAACGTTGAGCAGTCAAAGACAACAAAGCAGTATTCAGCTTACCTGGTGGTCGATTACCTCGTGGCCTCCTGCGGGCTTGAAATGGAGCTTCACCTTGGAGATGACGAGAAAGTAATCCGTCCGGTCATCGACGTCGCAGATCGCCTTAGTCACCATCACGTTCTGTCGATCTGGCCGCCGAACGAGAACATAGTCCAGCAGCTGCTAGCGCCGCGATCGGGGGTGCATCCATTTAGCCGTCCTCCGCATCAGCAGGCGGAAGAACATGTTAGTTAGGAGAATTGGACGTTCAGTGGGAATTCGCAGGAGAAGGAGGCCATTGTCGTTGCAACCGTCTATCCCGTGAGGACCCAGCACTCCCTTCCAGACAGCACAGTCTGTGCCGGCACAGGCATTACATGTCACCGAGGACAATCAACTTATCCGCCTCCGGCGCAGACGTCAGGAGGGCGTGCAGCTCTTCATAGAACTTTGTCTTCACCTCTTTTGAGCCGGTCATTGCTGGGACGTAGGCGCTAGTGGTGGTGGCGAATTAGGATCCCCGAAGATGCAGGCGCAGGCCCATCGGGTGATCGTTGACGTCCTGCGACAGACAGGGCGGTCGTCTCACGATGTCGTTCCAGATGGCAAAGGCGACGCCCGTGTCCCGTCGCTCTGCCCTGGGACGACCGCTCCAGAAGAAGGTGTAGCCGGCACCCACCTCCTCCAGTTGGTTTTGTTCGGAGAATCGGGTCCCACTGAGTACACCGATGTCCACCTTGTAGCGCGCCAGTTCCCGAGCCACTAGCACCGTCCTGTGTTCCGGTCGGTTGCTCCTGGGATTATTTAAAAGGGAACAAACATTTCAGACTGCCAGAGTGATCGGACACGCCCTAGCTGCCTATGTGGTGGGACGGCAGGAGGGGGTCTATAGAGGTTGTTGTTTCTTATTTTGTTGTTTTGCCAGCGTGCTTTGCATCTGCGAACCACGGTCTGCGCGAAGGTGTCGTGAACTCAGCTTTGTTTAGGGCACCTTTAATTGTCCCCTCTCCCTCGCGGGGAAAGCAATGCTCTCCCAGACGGATGCCGCTGTCCACTGTGGGTTACGGGCTTTAGTGAGCGAACGACCAATGGCCTGCGCCGCCTGCGTGATCACTGCCTCTCTCGCCGTAGGACTTTCGACTGTGGGGTAAAGGGTTAAAGTAGAGTAGAGAGAGTGAATGATGGGCCGGGAGTGCGGAGAGAAGGTACAAAGGAGTAAAAAGGAACAGGACCACCGTGTGAATATGCACACATGGATACCCTCGCATGGTTTAGCCCGCCGGTCGAAGCAGTTAAAGGGATGTGGCCGCAAGGCAGAGCGTAGCTGCGAGGAACCACATGTGGGAGTTAGGTGCCAGTTAATAGGCGTTAGGCATAGTCAGAATCTGCAAGCAAGTGAATGACCTACCACGACCTTCACGTGGACCCACACCTGGACACCCCTGCACCCCCCCCCTCCTGGGTATTATACTCACTGTTGAACACCACTGCACTTACGTGTGTACGTTCTGCAATCGTGAGTGGACGCTGCGCACAACACCCTCCAAACGCTCGAACAAATGTTAAACAAGATTTCGATTTTTTGGCTGCCTACATATCTGTTATTTGGAGCATTTTTACCGTGAAAAATTCTTGGACATTGCTTTAGTTTCTTCCCTTGCTTCACCGCCTTCGAGTTCAAAGTGATCTGCCATACAAAATCAGAGGAAGCCGTTGCGACAGAGGTTTTTAGGGCTAGATCGCAGTTGGTAGCCAGGAAAGGGGAGGCGGACAGCCAGGTCCTTGTCGTACGGGAATGGTGAGAAATGGGGTGATATGGGTGGGGTAAATGGAAGGGCTGGTAGAGCAATGCTGGAGATTCTGGGTAAAAGTAAACTTACCAGGGAAATTGATGGGATGTTTTAAGTAGATGTAATAATGGCCGAAATTTAACACCTGCGCTTAACCCTAAAATCCAAAACTGACAGCAACCGTAAAGCCTAACCTAAACCTCAAAACCGAAACGTAACCAAAATCCTAAAAACCAACGCTAACCCAAAACATAGCCATAACCCTAACCCTGACCCTAACCCTAGCCTTAACCCTAACCCTAACCTTGGGCCTAACCCTACCCCTAACCCTAGCCTTAACCTTAATCGTAACCCTAATGGGAATCTAAATCATAAGCCAAACACTGAAGCTTGACCCTAAAACGCAAACCCTTGTCCTAAAACTTAACCTACGCCTAACCCTAGCCCTCACTAAACCCAACAGCCTGACCGAAACGGGCGACCTGCCTAACTCAGTAAGAGCACCCCTACTGATAACAAGCTCCCTAGACAAGATAAGCACACCTTCTGATAACAAGTACGTACGCCGACAGTATCAACGTATAATGTCTGGCTACCAACTGCAATCTTACCGTTTTTTGACCCCCTGTAAAGTCTTCTCAGGCTGTTGCCTTCAGAAAAGCTATCTTTTAACGCCTATTGTCTTCTGGAGGTAGAAAGTAATATCCCAGTCTAATCTTTTAATTTGAAAGCACTTACTGTCACCGTGCACACCTATATGCCCATTCCATTTGGGGAAATCAGATCACAATGGGGTAATCTTAACATTCGAGATGGCTTTCGAAAATAACCCAGCTCCCAGTGACCGGTCTACGACCCATGATGACTCGGACTACACACCGGTTCGTCACTGAGGAACATACAAACTGCATAGTCCTAAAGCCCGGTACCTCCTTCGGTTCGTCACTGAGGAACATACAAACTGCATAGTCCTAAAGCCCGGTACCTCCTTCTTGTGATAGTTCGAAGACCAGCATCGCCTCCAAATGGTGGTTAATCGGTTTAAACACCGGGGATATCCATATTAGCATCTATTTTAATACTAATAGTGCATATGACAGAGTGGATTTTGGAAACTTCCCAAGGTCGCCGAGTTCTTCACAGCTGGGTCAAAATAAGTCATCATACGGTGAGAAAAAATCCTATTTTTGAAACAAGCTTATTCGCGACTAATATTTCGAACATTTTGTCGTGCATCCTGAACGTCTTAAGTCTTATTTCGATAATCAGTTCGTGACGATGATCTCGTCCTTATTCTCAGTTTCAGCTAAATCCCCTATCTTCGCATGCCCAAACAAATAATGTTGATTGTTTACCGCCAGGAACTTTTTAATTCATTCACTTAGTGATCCTCTTCAATCACTATCCTCTTACTGAGTCTACAAACATTTAATTAGGAATGCTAAAATGTCTGTAAATTATTCTTCTAATTATTTACGTCATCCTTAATAACGATCGAGGCTTAAAATTTAGGTAGAAGGTAAAATTCGTGAACAGTAAGCATACACTGACGAGTTTTAGAAGTACGAAATCCCTTCTCTTTTCCTCCCATTTAATTGCTGGCCTCAGTGCGAGGTCGTTACTGGGGGACCAGTTGCATACGCCTGACCCAGGGTAGCAAGCAAAACAGAAGACCTATACACCGACCTTCAATGAGATCAAATAAGGAAACGTCAATCTTCCCTAACCTTCCACGCCTTTCGTATAGCTGTCCACTCCTTACTTTGGTGTTTATGTAGAAAGGTTTAGAAACCTTTTGTTTTTCCCATACATGGATTTGGCAAGCCTTCTTTTTGTGGGCTAAAATCGTTCTACCGATGAAGGCGAATATGCGAGTCCCAGGTTCTTGATGCAAACAAGATAAAAGTGCGATCAGTACACCCGACCCGTTCACTGACTTTAATTCCTCCACCCCTTCCCTCTTCGTCGTTATTTGACTAGGAAATTGTTCGGCTGTCACTGGACTTTCAAAGTCTCTGATGATCGGTTCCTGTACATGTCTGAAAACGCAGACTGATTCATCTATTTGTCTAGTGATCGCAAATTCGTCTTTTTTTGTAAAAGTCACTCCTGTTATTTTCATTTTCGATGCTTAGGCTGCGACTTCTATTTTTAGGCGTCCTGACTATCTTATATCCTCGAATCTTCTATCTCTCCTAGCTTGTCTTGTTGTCTCGGCTTTATTTGTCCTATTATCATCCTCTCTTTCTGGTCGATAGCCATATCCAGAACAAGTGTCCGCAGCAGACTATATTCTCGGGAACTTTACGCAGGCGAACACGAGCCGTTGACATAAAGAGGATAGAAACAGTAATTCCCCGGAAGGTTCGTTCTTCTTATTGACTCACCACTTTCCACTATCACATTTCCCAAATTTAACTGCTTCGAAAATTTGAATAACACAAAATCAGATCGTCCAATTTCTATTTCCTGCCGGCCAGTGACTGAAACATCTGTTTGCATGCTTGACTACCCCTGGCGAAACTTGGCGGAATAAGATTGAGATCTGCGAATCTACAAGGACAGGGCAAGGATTGGGTACATTCCTCCACTTTACGTGTGCAGGCAAAGTGGATTTGACGGAGTAAAGTGTGCCCAGCAACATATCGCTCCTCAGTGGAAGAGTCTTGTCTCCACTTTCATCTTCTATTATCTGACGCTAACAGTCTGATGGCGGATTGCCAGATTGTTTTTTCAGCCTGTCTGCACTGACTTCCTATGCAAACGTTCACCCTTCGTTTTTTAAATCACCGTGACATTTTGTTGTCCGAAAATACTTCTGAATAGCAAGGGCTTGTAGCTCCAACCACCTCTTTTGATGACGTGGGAACGGTCATCCCGAGCGACTATTCATGGGCTTTTTAAAAACAGTAGTGTCTAAGTACGGAAAACCAACGCCTGCAGACGAACTATTAGTCGAAATTTGATACGGCAGCATTCCTTCCTCACATGTGAGTTTCCTGACATTATGTCCAATACGGAAGTTTTTTACTCTATAAGGTAGATTGCCCTTCACTATTTAAAAATCGATCAAGCAATATCGTTACCTGCAGCAGTAATTCCTTTACAGTAGATGTGCTAACTCATTAAATGTCAACCAAAATTTCGAAATGCGTTCTCGTTTCGCAAGGATAAATTAAGTAGTGTTGTAAAACGAATCATGATGCAGCATAAATCTATAATGATCCAGTTACCTCAGGGTGTCGGCTTTCGAAAGAACTTATTTTCGGCTGCATGCAAGATCCATACTCTGTAAAAAATGACTACTTAGGTAGTATGCAAGTTTCTCATCGATTTTCGATGCCCTTGAAAATTCAACTATATCTTATGGAAAGCATGCATAAAAATATTCATTATTTTACTTATTCGGTAGCAAATCACGTCTTCTTCCAATTGCATACTCAAACGAAGAGTATACTTCGGTTTTAAAAAGCTTCTAATTGTCAGATTTTTTAATACCTTTAGATGGCCGTTCATTAAACGTCATGTATCTGCATTTACGAATGTGGCTTGTGAAGTTAACAATAATGCTCAAATCCACTGCTTAATTTCACGAACCTCATATGGTCTCCTCTTAACACCGTAAAGAAATGCATGATTTTTCGTACACGGAAAATATACAGCTTGTAGTTTTGAAATCCTGAATTCAAGTGTAACAGCAGGTCGGGTGCAAAATTATTCGGGAATTAGAAAAGTTTTTTCAAATCAAATTATACTCTTCTTTTGAGTTTGAAATTGGAAACAGACGTGATTTTCTACCGAATAAGTAAAAGAATGAATATTTTTATGCATGTTTTCCATGAAATATAATGGAATTTTCAAGGCATCGAAAATCAATGAGAAAATTGCATGCTACCTAAGTAGTCATTTTTTGCAGAGTATAGATCTTGCATGCAGCCGAAAATAAGTTTTTTCGAAAGCCGACACCCTGAGGTAACTGGTTCATTATAGATTTATGCTGCAGCATGATTAATTTTACAACACTACTTAATTTATCTTTTCGAAACGAGAACGCATTTCGAAATTTTGGTTGCCATTTGATGAATTAGCACATCTACTGTAGGTAGATTATATTCAAGAAGCATGTCCCTGTACATTCTTTAGTACACGAGATAAGATGCTTTCGGTCGTTAGAAAATGTACTTACCGCCGTCTTTTTCGGCTGTGATGTAGGTCAGGTTTGTCCGTCGTGCGTTTCAATTACTAGCGAGGTTTTGCCGCAAGAGTTTAGTTTTTTAATTTTTGAACGAAATAGACGTCTTCTTGGGATTTCTTCTTAATCTGTTTTCGGTGACAGTAATCGTCCGCGATTTGATTTTGAAGTGTTCTTGGGCCAAAATGCTATGTAAAGACAGACCTTTATGCGAGGACAGCTTTCCAAAATATCTCTTTCAGTAAACATGCTCGAAATGTGTGAAGCCTCGAAAAACTGGTTTAGACACTATCGTCGGAACTGTTACGCCACAAGAAGTGCTGGCGCGCAACACATACGCCACGAAGTTCTATTTTTTTATTTTGGTTTATAAATGCAAGGTTTGTATACAGTAAATTTGACAGAATTCAGCTTTGTAGTAACATCATTTATGCTTATTCTTCAGTGAAAAATACGGGTACTCACGTTCAGTCGCCATCACCACCCTTGTGACACGCCCTGGAATCGATTTCTCTCTCGGTATCTCGGCAACCATCTATAGGTTAATGTACCCAAGCTTTGCTAGACATTTGCTTAACCGGTTGCATAGCTCGTGCCAAGAAAGCGCCGCCTAATGCATCGAATTGCATCAAAGAACGTAGGAACAGGGGGGGGGAGTAAGAATAAAATGGGTTCGAATTATGGAAAGGAATTTTTTCTCATCTGTCTAAGCAGCCAACCAGAAACGGCAATGGACACTAGTGGCTGTCACGGCGGCTTTTGCTGCAGCAGCTAAAGTCATGGGCGGATCCTAACCAATACTATCCTCTAATCAGGTCTCAAATAGCAGGAAAAGAGATAACACACCAGTAGAGGGACGCCTTGCATCCTGTACAGAAAAGCCGAAAAATGAGGTGTATAAGCAGGTTGGCAACCGGGCTCGGAAAGAACGACGGACGACTGACTTGACTGGCGTTCCAGTGTCTTGAGTGGTGGGGTGTGTTGAGATGCGACGGTCGACAACTCGAGGGTTCCCAAGTCAGAAAGCAGAAAATAAAATTAGATGGAAAAGCTTTAACTGAGGCAGAGAGCGTATGTGGGGTGTAGCGGTATCAGCGGTGGGTTCACGTAATGGTCGAATTGGTCGCTCACTTGCTTGCAGGTGAGACTACGCCTAGCGTCTATATGCTCGCACCCAACTCTCACCTAGGGCTCCACGTAGCTGGGCTCTGCTCAGCGATCACACACAGGGCAACCGCCTCGACCAGCGGGCTAAACCAGGTGAGAGTATACGTGCGTGCACCAGCACACACGGTGTTTTGGTTTCCGCTGATCGGATGGATGTTCGCGTCGACATCGTCGAGACGAGGCTCTGCCTGGGCCATCGCAGGAGGCCGCCAGGTAAGTAAAACCTCAGGTAAGTGAAATTCGCTCTGCTTTCCTTAATTGCTTGTTTGTTTAAATTGCATGCCGCATGCTGCTCATATTGCCTGCTCTGTATCTGTTAGTCTGTACACCGCTGCCAAAAGCTAGATGTTACTGTTTAAAAGAAGAAGAAGAAGGCACGATCAATGGGACAGTAGTTTTATTGGCCTGAGCTTTCGAACTCTAACTGGCGTTCATCATCATCAGAGACTGCTAGAGTGCAGCAACGTGTGAACATTTATATCGTAGTTCCACGCGGAGGGGAGGGGGCTACATCCGTGGCTAGGTCAGGTTTGTGTCGCCTGTTCCACAATGGTCCCCCGGCGTGGTGACGCCGTTTGTACTTCGCGACGATGTGAGCTGCGCCACCTGGTTGCGTGGGCGGAGGGCGTGATAACACGCAAGCAAATCGATGTGTCTATTGATAGACTTGGTGTCGGACACCCACGCCTCCAACAGTTCTCGCCCCGTCTTGTTGCCGGCTCGCGCCAATATCCACGTTTTAGCGAAGCCGAACTCATGGCCTTCATCCAGCGTGTGAGTGGCGACTTGAGATAGTGGGTCGCCTTTTCGAACGGCCCGTTTGTGCTCAAGTCTTCGCGAGCTGAGACGTCGTCCTGTGTGGCCTGTGTAGTGGCAAGGACAGTTTTGGCACGGGGTTTGATAGACTACGCCCGATTGTTCACCTGCGTCCAGCGCTTTTCGACCGGGTAAAAAAGCATTGTAACGAGCCCGAAGGAAGGATGCAAGAACTACGGCATCTCCGGGACCAATCAACAAAGAACGGCTACCCAAATAGGTTTATCAGTCGCTGCATACGCAGGCACCCACGACGGACAAACGGAAAAGACACCAACAATTTGGCACTCCCTACCGTACATAAAGAATGTGTCCGAGGCTACAGAACGCATTGCGTCAGAGCTAGGCGTGGTCATCGCTCATCATTCGGCAGCTACCATGCGTAGCAGGATCATGAAAGTGAAGGATCGGCTGGACGCAGGTGAACAATCGGGCGTAGTCTATCAAACCCCGTGCCAAAACTGTCCTTGCCACTACACAGGCCACACAGGACGACGTCTCAGCTCGCGAAGACTTGAGCACAAACGGGCCGTTCGAAAAGGCGACCCACTATCTCAAGTCGCCACTCACACGCTGGATGAAGGCCATGAGTTCGGCTTCGCTAAAACGTGGATATTGGCGCGAGCCGGCAACAAGACGGGGCGAGAACTGTTGGAGGCGTGGGTGTCCGACACCAAGTCTATCAATAGACACATCGATTTGCTTGCGTGTTATCACGCCCTCCGCCCACGCAACCAGGTGGCGCAGCTCACATCGTCGCGAAGTACAAACGGCGTCACCACGCCGGGGGACCATTGTGGAACAGGCGACACAAACCTGACCTAGCCACGGATGTAGCCCCCTCCCCTCCGCGTGGAACTACGATATAAATGTTCACACGTTGCTGCACTCTAGCAGTCTCTGATGATGATGAACGCCAGTTAGAGTTCGAAAGCTCAGGCCAATAAAACTACTGTCCCATTGATCGTGCCTCCTTCTTCTTTTAAACATAAACCTGAGATGCGCTTATTCTCTTCCATTCGTGAGATGTTACTGTGCTTGACTTCAAATGATACTACTCCTTACTTGTCTGACTTGCCTTCTTATCTGCCTGCTTACTTCCTGAGCCGTTTGCTGCTCTTTTGCCTGCTCTGCGTCTGTTTGCCTGTCTGTCAGTCTGTTCCTCTCTCTGCTTATAGCTTGGCTTTTCTGTGCTTGACTTCGAATGATGCCATGCTACTCCTCCCGGACTGATGACTGTGTCTGCTTGTCCATCCCAGCTGTGAGTCCCATAGCATTCTGTCGTGTGTATGCTCTCTCCTACTTAACTCCACCCATCACCACCAAGGTCCCAGGCTAACTCTGGTCGTTCTCTTACTAGTAAAAATTCGTGGCCCATAGTGGAGTTCGGCAGCCGTCAGGGATAACCGGGCAGCCCTATTTTGGGGGTGCGCTGCCTGCCCTCGCAAGGGGGAAGGGGCCAGAAAAGGTGCAATAAAAATTGCTCGGAACCACGCTGTCTGTAGGCTGGCCGTGGCCGCAGACAAAACACACACGGTCGAAACAGCCAAAACCGAAACAATACTAATCTCTCTCTTCCTCGTTCTGCCAATTCTCCTTCTTCCGCTCCTTCTCCTTTTCGCCGCCACAATCACCAGACTGGCAGGATGAGTCCGCTCACTCTGGCAGCCTCGAATGTTCGTTCCTTTTTAGACAATCCGAGCAGCAGCTGACCGGAACGGAGGACAGCGCTAGTGGCCCGGGAACTGACGAGCTACGTGGTGGACATCGGCGCTCTCAGGGAGACCCGATTCTCCGAACAGGGTTTACTGGGGGAGGTAGTTGCCGGCTACACCTTCTTCTGGAGTGGTCGTCCCAGGACAGAGCGACGAGATGCGGGTGTCGCCTTGGCCATCCGGGACGACATCGTGAGACGACTGCCCTGTTTGCCGCAGGGCATCAACGATCGCCTGATGAGCCTCCGTCTACCTCTCCGGCGTGGGGGCAAATTCGCCACCATCATCAGCGCCTACGCTCCGTCGATGACCAGCCCCGACGTCGCAAGAGACAAGTTCTACGAGGACCTGCACGCCCTCATGGCGACTGTGTCGAAGGCGGACAAGTTGATTGGCCTTGGCGATTTCAACGCCCGCGTCGGCACAGACCATGCTGCCTGTAGAGGAGAGCTAGGTCCCACGGTCTCCGCGGCTCCAAAGACAATGGTCTGCTGCTTCTCCGCACCTGAGCAGAAAACCGCCTCATCCTGACGAACATCTTCTTCTGTCTGCCGAAGCGAGAGAAAGCCACCTGGAGGCATCCTCGGTCGCGTCAGTGGCACCTGCTGGAGTATGTCCTCGTCCGGAGGCGAGATCAGCGGGGCGTGCTGGTGACGAAGGCGACCGCGGGTGCTGACGGGCGGACCGATCATCGCCTCGTCATATCGAAGATGCGTATTCGCCTACAGCCTCGAAGAAGACCACAAGGTAAGCGGCCCCCAGGTAAACTGAATATTGCCTTGTTGTCTTTGGCCACTCACCATCCTCATTTCAGCAATGAGCTAGCTCAACGGCTAGACAACCTTCCAATCGCTGCCGCCGCCGACGCCGCCGCCGTCACTGCCGTGAACGCCTCCGTGGAGAACCGATGGTGTCAACTGCGAGACACGGTCCAAACGACGGCGCTAGCCGTCCTCGGTTGCGCACGCCGCCAACATCAGGACTGGTTCGACGACAGCGACGCCGCCATCAGCAATCTGCTAGCCGAGCAGAACCGCCTACACAAAGCCTACGTAGACCACCTCACTGATGACAACAAAGCTGCCTTCTACCGCAGTCGCCGCAACCTTCAGCAACGGCTGAGCGAGATGTAGGACGCCTGGACTGCTAGCAAAGCTGAGGAGATCCAAGGATGCGCGGGCTGCAACGAGTGGAAGTACTTCTTCACCGCGATCAAAGCTGTCTACGGTCCGCCGACGAAGGGCACTGCTCCTCTCCTCAGCGTTGACGGTCGTATTCTCCTGACCGAGAAAACGCGAATTCTACAGCGATGGGCCGAGCATTTCCGAGGCATCCTCAAACGCCCCTCCGCCATCTCCGAAGCAGCTATCGCCCGCTTGCCGCAAGTGGAGACCAACATGGACCTCGACCTTCCGCCATCTCTCCAGGAAACGATCAGGGCCGTGCAGCAACTCCAGCGGGAAAGCACCCGGATCGGACGCGATCCCTGCTGAGGTCTACAAGCACGGAGGTCCCCAACTAACGGATCACCTGACTGCGCTCTTCCAGGAGACGTGGCGTCAAAATGAAGTCCCGCAAGATTTCAAAGACGCAACCATCGTGCATCTATACAAGCGAAAAGGGAAACGCTAACTCTGCAACAATCACCACGGCATCTCCTTCCTGTACATCGCCGGGAAGATCTTCGCTCTCATCCTCCTCAACCATCTGAATAATCATCTCGAAGAGGGCCTTCTGCCGGAAAGCCAATGCGGTTTCCGTCGTCATCGTGGGACCACTGATATGATCTTCGCCGCCCGTCAACTTCAGGAGAAGTGCCAGGAGATGCGGACCCACCTGTACTCTACCTTCGTGGACCTGACGAAAGCCTTCGACACGGTGAATCGTGAAGGACTGTGGAAGATCATGCAGAAATTCGGCTGTACGGAACGATTCATTCAGATGGGGCGTCAGCTGCACGACGGTATGATGGCGCGAGTCACGGACAACGGAGCTGTCTCAGAGGCATTTTCTGTGACCAACGGAGTGAAGAAGGGATGCGTGCTGGCGCCTACCCGCTTCAGTCTTATGTTTTATGCCCTGTTGATGGGCACCTATCGCGACGAATGCCCCGGGATCCGCATCGCCACCGCACGGCCACCTTCCGAATCAACGGCGGATGTACTTCCAATCTCGAGTATCCACAACTGTAGTTCACGAACTTCTCTTCGCCGACGGCTGCTCCCTGAACACCACCTCGGAAGAGGAGATGCAACGGAGCATGGACCTGTTCTCCGCCGCCTGCGAGAACTTCGGACTGGTCATCAACATGCAGAAGACGTTGGTGATGCATCAACCACCACCCAACTCAGCCACACCCCCCAACGCGCCGCCGCCGCAAATGCAGCGTGAACGGAACCCAACGGCAAGTGGTGGAGAACTTCCCGTATCTAGGCAGTACCCTCTCCCATAACACCAAAATCGATGACGAAATGGCTCGTAGGATCGCGAAATCCAGTCAAGCCTTCGGTCGCCTCCAATGCACAGTTTGGAATCGTCATGGTCTTCAACTGAGCACGAAGCTGAAGATGTACAAGGCCGTCATCCTGCCGACGCTGCTGTACGGAGCGGAGACTTGGACAGTGTACACAAAGCAGTCACGCCGACTGAACCACTTCCACCTCAGTTGTCTTCGTCGCATCCTGAGGCTGAGCTGGCAGGATCGCATCCCCGACACTGATGTTCTGGAACGGACGGGAATCCTTAGCATCCACACAATGCTGAGACAAATGCAGCTGCGTTGGAGCGGCCACCTGATGCTCATGGACGACGAACGACTACCCAAACGATTCTTTTACGGAGACTTCGCCACGGGTTCTCGTCGCCGAGGAGGCCAAATTCGTCGATACATGGATACTCTAAAGTCCTCTTTGAAGCGTCTGCAAATTAATCCGACTAACTGGGAAGACCTCCCCCACGACCGACAGACCTGGAGGAGGACAGTGAAGACAGGCGCTGCGATCTACGAAGCCAACCGCATCGCCGCCGCCAAAGTGAAACGCGAAGCACGCAAAGCACAGCTGCGCGCAGTCCGCAACGCCGACTCATAACCGCTTTCAACGTGCCCTCGGTGCCAACGGACATTGCGGGCACAAATAGGCCTTATTGGACACCTTCTGATCAACTGCACCTCTCGGACCGCACCAACCGTCGTCCCTCCGCCCGCCTCTTCCTCGTCCACTCCGCCGCCAACTAACTCTGACTGCTCTTCTTAACCACCCCTTCCATCCTCCTTCTCTTCCTCCTTCCCCTCTTCTTTTTCCTCCTCCTCCTCCTCCTCCTTCACTACACCAACGACGGCCGCTCTGACAGCTGTCACGCACTTCAACATCACACACTTCCCTGACACAACAACAGACACCACCCCTCCAACCTCCGACTCCAGAGGTGAGTACCATGACTACACCTGCCCTCACCGCGACCGAACATTTACCTCACACATCGGCCTGGTCGGTCACTTGCGAATCCATCGCCCAGGGTCTGGTGAACCAGTGCCTGGAGCACCCATCTACACCCTCCGCACTCGCCTCCACTGCCCACATTGCCCTCGCACTTTCACGCAGCGGATCGGCCCATTCGGCCACGTGCGCATCCACGAACACCTGCGGTAGACAACCGCCGGCTGCACCACACCATCACACCCTTCCTCCCTGCCTCACCACCACCAACACCACCCCACTACACATCGACACTTACCCATCGCAAGCACCCAACTACCACCTCCCTCGCAAGTGGGAAGTGTGCATCTCGACTCGGTTCCCATGCGGCTTTGGCTGCACGGGCGACTCGAGTCTGAGACTATCCCGACATATTAAGAGTCGCGTATAGGAAGGCTGCTGGGTTAGGTCGCAGTTGGTATCCAGGAATGAGGAAGCGGACGGCGAGGTCCCAGTCTTTCGTGAATGGTGGGAAAGGAGGGTATGCGAGTGGGGTAAATGGATAGGCTGGTGAAAGAGTGCTAGGGGCTGTTGGAGAAAATAAATTTTCCGGGGAATATGTTTGGAAGTTTTAAGTAGGTGGAACAATTGCAGAAATTAAAAAAATCCCGTTAAAAACAGCACAGCCTGCGGAAAATGACAGAGGTCAATAATGATAGGATAAGCACACCATAGCACACTGGGAACCAATGCGGAACCAAAGTCATTCCGCATAGCATAACCGAAAACCGCAGGCAATATCATGAATGGCAGTGAAGTGGCGAGTGGAAGTATAATTAACGAAAACGAACCCCGGAAACATAGACCTGAAGTCTTAAGCCTAACCCGAAAATCGGAAAAAATCAATCGGAACCCAAATCCTAACCTCAAACGTAAAACGGAAGCCAAATTTTCTAACCCTAACCCCAAAGCCGAACCCCAACCCTACAGCCAAACCATAATCGTTAACATAAACCCCTACCCCAACACCGACACCGGGCACTGAAACACAAATCCTTACCCTAAAACTTAACATACGCCTGACCGAAATGGGCGAGCTACCTAATGCAGCAGAAGCACATCTACCAATAAGCAGTTCCCTAGACAAGGTAAACACACCTACTGATAACAAGAAAGTACGTCGAAAGTATCAACGTATAATGGATGCAAAAGGCGATCTTGCTGAAATTTTCATACCTTATTAAACTTTCATCTAGCTCGATAGCCGGATCTGCTGTTAAGTCGTACAGCGTTATAAGCCTCTAACAGTGTGACTGAGATACCGCTAAAGGAAGTGGGAGCGAATTAGCAGACTTACGTTATCAAAGCTGCACCGCAAATGCCTCCGACAGTTCCCGGTTGTTTGTGACGCGCCGATCCCGTCGCTGTGCAGCAGTCAAACAATCCGTGTGAATGGTTTCGGATACCGAAGTTTTAGCGTGATTTTCCAGACTGCATCACCGCTCGTGGGATGAAGTCCAACCCTCAGTTCGGGTGACTGGGCATGACAGGGGACGAATAACTTGCAATAAATGCTTATAAGTACAAACCGCTGAGGGAATTCGTGGATCTGTAGATTTTCCTTGGTTTATACTTGGTTGAATGATGCTTTTGGCCAAGGTATCTCCTTGGATTTGGCCTCGTCCCCGCTGCTATTGAAAGACAGAGGTGAGGTTTCGCAGGACTAACGGACTGTCGAATATGTAATATTAGAGGGGAATTGAGTTGGCGCAAAGCGCATTTCCGCTGTTCGGATGTTGAACATTTCTCCATCTACTGTTCTAAAGTTCCGAAAATTTCCATGCAGCAATACAGAAGGCCATGTGGCGAGCAAGCGCGTGCTTTTGGTAAATTCTCATCGGGTCAGTGCATACAGATGGGAAGGAGGTGTAAGGTAAAATGTATGTGCGATAAGAGAAATCGATGACAGATCGTCTCTTAATACGAGCAGGGTGTGTAAATAAGGGTGGGGGGAGGGGGAGGGAGAGGAAGCGGTAAATGGCAGTGAGGGTTAGGTAGAGCCGCAGCACAGGAGGAGACGAACGGTGTTGGTCTAGAAAAGTGACTGAATACTTTTTGCTGGGAAAGTACGTGGAACAAACCCCCAGGAAATACGTATTCCGACGAACGCACTCAAGGAACTATAACTAAAGTGCACACGAAATGTGCAGTTCCTTTTTGACGCGGGGAAGATAAAGATAAGCTACCAAATCAGACCACCTCCATATACATTTTCTCCTTTACTAGCTCCTGCAGAGCAGGCTATATTGGTCGTACGAGTCCACGCCTACCCAAAAGGAACACCTGGCGGCATGGCTGGGTTAAGGTGAGATTAAGAGCATACACAGTTCCACCCTTTCACACATCATGTGGACCCAAACGAAGCCTTCCGTGTGATTTACAAGGTCCCACCTAACTGCCCTAAGCAACTGGGTCAGCGCTTACTAGCAACAGCAGAAACGACTGCCATCAGGCTACGGAGGCCGGTCCTGTGCGCGCAGAAGAACCGTTTGCACGTGCCGCGTCTATCCTGGCCAAATATCGATTAACAGCATGCATGTCTCTGTGCCCCCCCTTCCCAACTCCTCCTGTGCTGCGGCTCTACCTAACCCTCACTGCCATTTACCGCTTCCTCTCCCTCCCCCTCCCCCCACCCTTATTTACACACCCTGCTCGTATTAAGAGACGATCTGTCATCGATTTCTCTTATCGCACATACATTTTACCTTACACCTCCTTCCCATCTGTATGCACTGACCCGATGAGAATTTACCAAAAGCACGCGCTTGCTCGCCACATGGCCTTCTGTATTGCTGCATGGAAATTTTCGGAACTTTAGAACAGTAGATGGAGAAATGTTCAACATCCGAACAGCGGAAATGCGCTTTGCGCCAACTCAATTCCCCTCTAATATTACATATTCGACAGTCCGTTAGTCCTGCGAAACCTCACCTCTGTCTTTCAATAGCAGCGGGGACGAGGCCAAATCCAAGGAGATACCTTGGCCAAAAGCATCATTCAACCAAGTATAAACCAAGGAAAATCTACAGATCCACGAATTCCCTCAGCGGTTTGTACTTATAAGCATTTATTGCAAGTTATTCGTCCCCTGTCATGCCCAGTCACCCGAACTGAGGGTTGGACTTCATCCCACGAGCGGTGATGCAGTCTGGAAAATCACGCTAAAACTTCGGTATCCGAAACCATTCACACGGATTGTTTGACTGCTGCACAGCGACGGGATCGGCGCGTCACAAACAACCGGGAACTGTCGGAGGCATTTGCGCCTTTTAACTATGAGTACTGCGACTTTGCGTGATACAATACACGCAGCCTTTGCCTTTGATGACTAATGTTCGGCAAGTTTTCACGGGGCCTAGCCCATCTGAGCCGCATATTATTTGGGATCCATGCGTTGGCAGGGACGGATACCCCCCATGCTCTTTGTGGTCTGGAACTCCGGGAAATCAGCATGTGCTTGACAGCCTTCCTGACCCCACATGTTGCTAACTGTTTTCCTGAAATCGCCTTGTATCTGGGTGTATTTCGAACTAAATAGATCGAGGTTAGGCAGTGAGGTTTCACATGGTAGTAGACCCTGTCGTTTGCCTAGTTTGTTTGCATGCTCTCAAACTCTCATGAGGACCCTCTAGTCTTAAGTGGTCTTAGGTCTCCAGTCGCGGTCACACAAACATTATGATGATCTTGACAAGACAGTCTTCACTAAAGCTTTGCGAATATTCACTTGGCAAGGTATAAGGCTGACATTTCCTTATGCCAATATCTCGCGGTTACAACCATTTGTTAACTGCAATCTACCGCTTTTCACGAAGGCCAGTGATAAATCCTCTTCAAAATATAATACAAAAACTGCTGTTAGCATATTTTTGAAGCAGTTTATATTCCTTTACGGTGTCCCCTCAACTATCAACCCCGACCGCAACAGGCAATTTGGATCTAGATATCTCAACAACCTGACCGAATGCCTCAGATGCTCCATCGTACGCACGGTAGTCTATCTTCCATCAGCCAACTCTTAGGTCGAAGTTTTTCACCGTGAAACCAAAGCCTCGACCTATGATCGCCCCAACCTACTGCAGCATCTGCTCCTGCTACGGTTGGTATCCATGCCGCGCTCAATACGGGATTGCAGTGCTCCATCGTCAAACCTGCCCCAGGATCCCCGGGCCGCGTCAGAAATTTGCGGATATGGACTTTACGGTTCGTCTCCAGAAGATTCGCAAGTGGCGAATCTGCGAACCATCTGTCCAAGAGATCCGGCAAGTCATGTATTGTCCTTAGCTCGCTTACCAGCTGGTTCACGGGCTTGAGCGGTTAACCGGTGCATATGGGAAGGAAGAGACAGTGACATCGATTCTGGAGAGCCCACCCTAACCAAAAATGAACGCACTGTTTATCTTAAATCTTACTAGCTTTGGAACTACCATGACGCACTAAAAGTCGTGGAGTAGAAGGTTGCTTTCTTAGGGGGTACTTCTTTCCCCACGGTCAGACTCGTCCGGGCCCATGTGTGGCGCGCGTAGATGTGGAATTGAGCTCCATCATCCCTTTGAGGCCCAGTCTCTGCATCAGATGGCCGACCGGCTCGGACAGCTGTCCGAAAGAGGCATGCG